TTTCTATTACAAAGTAGAAGACCCTATTTATAGGGTTACAAATAACTGTAAAGGGAAATAAACATAAAATGAAATATTACACAATAATGAAAGTAAATCTACACTAAAAGGAAATATTATAATGGAAAAATATCATAGATTATTCTCTCTATCTTCAACATCTATATAGCATTGTAATTGAGTTTCAGAAAGGTTTTAGAGCAATGCTAATTGCTACATGTACTGGAAAAATGCACGTATAGGTTTACAGAATGCCACATGGCAACATTTCATTAGATTTTGAACAAAAAACATAGTTAAAACAACCAATCAGTTGCTGCCGTCTCAAGTATCATTTTTCAAGGTTTCAATGCATGAAAACAGTAAACCAACACTTTTCTACACATCTAGTTACAGATATCATCGCGTGACAACTTCCCTACAGACAACTGAAACCTAAGAATGCGACCCCTCTACTTTCTGAGGAGTCTGATGCAAGTGCAGAAGGCAGACCCTGATAGCTTAATAGCTGAAATGGACGACTCAGAGTCGATTGACGGGTGTGAGCAACTGCAGTGCCGTACTCTCTGAGACAATAGCCAAAGATTTGAGATTGCAGTTTATTACAGCATTCACAAAGTAGCATGTCTCGTCTTGAGTATTCCCTTCAGGCACATCCACGACAAATGATTCGATAACCAGCGCTCCTAGCATCCCATCAATTATCTCGGGATGGACAGTAATGATTGAAGAGTAATTCTGCAAGAACATCAAAACAAAAGATAACAAATTTGATTATGTGACTTGAACAGCAAGAGAGGATCAAGAATGCCAAATTCAGAGAAAGCAAAATGAGAACAGTAAATATATGCTGTGGTTCCACAAACCATCAAGTTTAGGAGCTCCAACTGGGACAAAGGAGAGGATGCTCTTACATGCATAGAAATCTTACATAAAGAACTAGAATTTACAAAAATATTGATCTCAAAATAAACCCGACGGTTCAAAAGGTTAGAGTGCCACGACTATAGTCAGGAAATTTAAAGCCATGAGAATTTGACACAGCTGATGACGAAATCCGAGTTTACAAAATGGCAACCGGCGTGTATGTATATAGAAAAAGTTTATGCAGGCATGGCTTTTCCAAATTCCCCATTTGTCATTCCATTTTTTAGCAAGGGACACCTCTCACTATTTTTGAGAGGGAAAATCATAATTGGCCTATGTAGTTGCATATTTTGTTAACACCAAGGATAAACCGTATGCATTTTTTATTTTTTATTTTTGGAAACATTGCACTATTGATCCCCAGCGTTTTCCATTAATTAGAAAGTTGGCCCCTAACATTTCGTTATAGTTGCAATCAGTCCTTAATGACAGAAGCTGTCCAAATTTGTGTTGAATCCCGTGACCCTCTGGACACAATTCCGTGTTTAATATCAAACCTAGTTTCATAAATTTGGACACGTGATGGACACATGACGATTACAGAGATTTGAATTGTCTCTACGCTTACACGTTGCGTGACAATAGTAAAAGGTAGGGGACCAACTTGCACCTTTTCGAAGGTAAGAGACTAACCAACTTGCTTATGAGACAATAAGTGAGAAACTAATGGAGAACTTTTCCAATATTTAGTTTTGCTGATCAACCCAAATAAATTGAACTTGGCTACTACTTGTAACGGCCACAAATCGCTGCTTCAACAGAGTAAATATTACCTCGAGGAAGAAAAGAATAGTATATATGAAACAATAGAGGAAAGCCCTTACCTTTAGCCTGTGATCACCACCAACAATCTTGAAGCCAAGAACGTGCTCCTGATCATCAAGCAGTTCCAGCATCTCAGTGCTGGTCGTGGCAGGAAGTCCCGACTTCACATTCACCTCTCTAACACTCCCAATCTTAAAATCACCCCGCACAATGCACCTGCTAACAAAGGGCTTATACTTCTGAGGTTGATCAAATCTCCTCACTGCTGACCAAACCTTAAAGAACATACAAATATAAGTCTTTGGATATCACAGCTTAAACAAAAGCCACAAAATTTCAAATAAATAATACAAATGTAGGCTCTTTGAAGCACATAAAGAATTCATTCCAAGTTTTGAGTTTCCCAAATCAAGATACATATACAAGAGGACACTCAAAAAATGAGTAGAAGTTACAGAAGCAAATGACTTCACAAGCTTTTGAGCTTCTATTATACATAGGCTCATGAAAGGAGGGTACAGCTACATCTAGCAGATATCCTCTAATACGAAGGAACGGAAAAGCTGGACGAACCATTCTTTTTATGCTTCAGGTGCTTAGTTCTCAATGCGTTGAAAGTCTTCGTTAATTTACCATCATTCGATCTCTCCCTCAAATATCAACTATAAAAATCACATTTCCTAATTTCCTCGAATATATATAGGCATTTGGAAATCAAACAAAAAGCAAGCAAAAACTATATAAAATGTGAAAACAAATGTATCGATTTCTAATATCAGAGCCCTTCATGCCTAATAATTGAAAAATGTAGTAAATACAAAACAATTTTTAGAAACAATTATGCCATTGTTTGAGCCCCATTTTCTAATAATACATTTTTTTCGAACTCCTTTTCAACCAGGAAGTCGAGTGATGTAGGGCGGTCGTTGACCGTTTACGAATTATGGTTGCAATAGCAAAATTATTTATTAATATTTAATTAAATAATATTAAAAAAATACGTACGAATATATAATGATTACTGATTAGACTCATTTACAGGATAAATAATAAGAGATTGAGAATTTAGATTCTTTTGAATCTCGATTCAAAATGCATTCATCGTTGAAAATTCAACAATCCAAAATAACAAGAAAAAAATAGATTTTTGAATCATATATGTATGATCAAGTTTCAAATTTTTACGAACTTAAGCGAAACAAAATGAAACTCATACGTAAAATATGATTAAATGGTAAATACAAGTTCCGAACTTAGGCAAAACTTATGCAAAGTTCTTAAAACTAGGGCTGTAGGCAAAAACCGTTAAATCGGAAAATCGAACCGAAACCGCATTTTAGAAACCGTCGGTTTGGTGCCACGTGGACCTGTCAACGAAATGGTTTTGAACCAAATCAAATCGGTCAAAAATGGTTTGGTTTATGTTTGAGAATTTTAATTGCGGTTTAAAATAAAATCGGACCGACGAAAAAATATATATAAATAAAAAAAAATAAGAATAATGAAATTTTTTGAAAATTCATCCAAATATGTAAAATTCAATAGTTTTGTCATTTGTTTGTATTTTTGTCAATTTATAATTTTCTATTACACATTATTATTATCAAATAATCTTAATTTATATCTAATAATTTCAAGATTAACATAATCTATTAAAAACCCTTTTCCTCTTCAGAATTNTATTATTATTACCAAATAATCCTAATTTATATCTAATAATCTTAATACTAACCTTATCTATCAAAAACCCTTTTACTCTTCAGAATTCAAACTTCTACAGTTACTCTGAGTCTGAATTCTCAACTGGAGGTTGGATACTTGATTCATTTAGAAGTTTATTAGGTGCAAAAATGGTTAAGGCTTGTATATGCGAAAAGAATTAGTTGCAAATTAAGAATGAACCTATANACTATGATGATGTAACGAATGCATTTGTTTGACAATGAAGACTATGAATCATGAGTGACAACAATTGATGTTTGAGTATATGTGAGAAATTGAATTCGTAACAATATACAACGGTGAGATTGTGTAATTGTTACGTTTAGATATTATAAACAATTGATTTATTGTTATGGTTGGTTATTTTCTCTGTTTAATCAGTAGTTTTATTTTTCAGATATGATGATCATGAGATCTTGTTGAACATCATTATGTTTTTTGGGCTTTATATTTAGTTTAGTAGATTTGTATTGTAACGTTATTGTAACTTCTTAACCTAAAATGACAAACAAAAAACTATATTTTAGTTTATTGTGATTTCACTTTGATTGAGTTGGTATTTAAATTTGTAGTAGATATATTTAGTTTGTTTTAGATTTATTGCTAGTAAGATATAAATATATATTGAATTCAATGAATTAATGTCATA